GGCAATGATACCCAATGAGATATGTAGAAAAATTGGGTCTCGAATAATCCCTTGATAGATTGATGCTGGAGTATCCTTCATTTCGTTTGAAGAGGCGAGTTGAAGGAATTAATTTGTGAGTTGGCCTTAGCGGAAGTTGTAGCTTGATTTTCTTGGAGCCGTGACCGTAGATTTGTGCAAGTAGGTCATCAGTACACCACCCTGCGGTCACGATGAATCCTTGATGAGCTTTCTTCCGTCATGTGATGTACATCGTCGGAGCAGGATATCATGCTTGAAGCTAATTCACCAAAACACAAAGGCAGGATATGTGACCTGCTTCATGCCTACCTACTTATAGCCAAACTTGGTCTGCTTGATGAGACATTTCATTATTTGGTTGGATATCCTATTCCTTTCCTACATTCTGTTGAAAAGTGAAGTAGCTGAGGATGACATGTGAAATGGCCGCAAATGAAGCATGAACCGGATGCAATTGTGACCGAGCAGCTGCATCCTTACTAAAAACGCTAATCTTTTTTTGTTCATTAGTAGAGTTGTCAAACTACCAGTAAATCAGTTATATGAGATCTATCCACCCCAATTCATTTAAAACGAGTAGAGCTGGCGTTTCCATTGCATTTCGAATAGCCTTGCTTTCCCAAAAATGTGTCTTTATCCAGAGTGGACTGCAGATTCAATCTCGCCTAGGCCTTATCAACACCCCTAGCGGGCGTTGAACCATGACAACTCAACGTGTAACCTCGGCACGTTAACCACCTCGCGACATTGCCATGAGTGCCCTTGGATCACAGGGCAGATGTGAATTTCATAGAAGGCCAGGCATTGTCCCATATCTCATTTTTTGATGGGAGTGTCGATGACAATCGACTACATTATTTATTTTTTTGTGTATTAGTGGAATTTCAAGACTACCAGTAAATAAGCTTCTATTTTTTGTTTTATCCTACAATGGCGCCGCATCTGATTGCATTCTATTGCAGATGTGTTGTGTGCATGCAATACTAGTGAGAAGAGTGGGGTTTGAGAGTAAGAATAAGCTGAGGAAAATATAGCTTCCTCTTGCTCGGCGGTACTTCTTGTTCCCGCTATCCCTCTCTTGAATCCTATCCATCAGCCACAAGTGGTTTCCACTTAACCTCTACCCACACATTCTTTCTATTCAGGGGGTTGGCTTTTTGTCGATTTCAATCGTTTCCCTAATCTTACTGGTATAGCCAGTTAAGCGTTCAGCATTAGACCAGTCTGTCTGGCGTCCTGTGTTTGGAGCAGGCTGTTTTATGTTCAGATAACCCCATATGTATGGGTCGACAGGTCCTCCGCACATAGACACTACCACACGAACACAAAGCCATATAGCAGCCCGATTTGGAAAGTAGGTTCGAAATTTGCCCAAGACATGCCACCACTGAGGTGTGCTATTTTCTGCTTATAAATCCTCCCAATGCCCCATTTCCTAAGTAATTCAATCATCGCTTTAGATA